AAGAGATGTCATGTTTGCAACACATGAATGAAGTATTCATTTGTACTCATTCCAACTCAAATCTAACTCTTAGGGATTTTTAAGTTCACACCACCCAGCAAATCAAACGATTAAAATCACTACTACAAAACTCATCAAAGAATTAGGAAATATAAAGGGTTTGCTAATAATAATAATAATAATAATAATAATAATAATAATAATACTTTTTGTTTCCAAACTTACTTTAAGAAAGTTACTTTTTAAAATTGAATTTTTTTTATAATGAAATCTTACAAGCCCCCTCTAATTGTTGGATTATGTTGTGTATTTATAGAACAAGTAATCCGTTTCAGGAACAAGTTTAACTAAAGGTGGTTTTTCAAACTTAACTAAAGATAGTTTCTCAAAATTTTTTGCTTTCCTTTGTTTAAGAAAAAAGATAACTACAGAAAAAAAGTACACTGAACATTCATCCACCTTTTATTTTGTAATTAAGTTCTCTTCATTTCAAAATCATAATAGTTGACCCGAGACAAGTTTCAGACTTTTCAATTTAGTCCCAAACTTTTCAAATGTCGAATTTAACTCCCGAAACTTGTGAGTTTTTATCGAATGCTCCATTAATACTTTCAATTAATCTCTTGCATCTGATTAATCTTTAATTCCTTCAAACCAACTCCAATTAACCTCTTTTCACATAAATTGTATCTAAGTTGGGATTTTCTTACAATTAACATAATTTATATAAATGAAGTAGACAATCGCTTAATTTATATATAAATAAATAAGAACAGAAGCCAAGATAGGCACATAAAATGCATTTATCAAGCTTCTTAATTGAGCTTCTTCAAATTGATAAAATCATTCAAAGTTATCGAAAAACAAAAGGAATTAAAAGGTCACCTGACTTAAAAATATATATATATTGAACTTGTGGATAAGATACTCACTTAGCATAATAAGGATAAAGAATGAAATGAGATGATAAGATACTCACTTAGCATCGATAGGATGTCACCATCACTAATCCTAAAATCACTAGAAATCAAGAAATTCTGGCTTGGTTAATCAAAAGAGTCTTTCAGGGCCCACACAATGATTATTTCGTGTTTATTATGGTTCAACTCTAAATTGACCTCAGTTGGTAGTTGAAATGAAAGATTTTTCGCCAGTGAAGCTTTAAGAGAAGAGATAGAGCAAGTAGTCTTGATTGAAAGTACATACACAAGCACAATGGATGGGAAATCGTGAAAATAATATTATGGTTTCTTTAGTAATGTGTATAACAATATCAAAGATGAAGAAAAATATAAAAATGTCTTATTTGTTGTTTTTCTAGTAACAATCATGACCTTAATTAATCTTTTACATTTTAATTACTTGGGCTGATTTATCTCAATTAGATTAGCATATATATTTAGTAATGCTAACCGTATTAGGAAGGGACAAATGGCAAATGTTTTGATGAAATAGGAGAGCAGTTTTCAAGTTACAGTATGGTAAATAGATTTATCTAAAATTAAATCGAGATGAAAGTGGTCGTTCTTTACAATTTCTTCTTTGCAAACAACTTAAATTAAATGATAAAATCTCAAATTGAGATTCTAGCTTTTAAATTGTTGTTTCCATGGACACACTTTTTGCATTCGTAGAGTCGGTGAAATTTGAAACTCGATATATTTACTTGTCTTCACTCTCCAAAAGTTCTTGCACTTACCTGCATATGTTTTTTTCTCAAAAAATGTTATATTGTTATTGTATTTTAAAATATTTCCTCTGCTTTTCTCGTGATACATATCAGATTAATAAGGTTAAATTGGTTGTTTGATCTATACAGAAAACTAAAGATTTTGTGAAATTGCTTATCAGAAAAAATTATAATTATTATAATAAGTTGATTTATTTCCCAAAGGGTTGCTTATTTGATAATCACATGATCTACCAAAGAAGCATCAAAATACAAAGTATATTGAACTTACTGTTGCCATAAATTTTTTCTCCATATAAAGTTGAATCAAAACCTCGTATGCTTGAGAGAAGAAAGCCTACCAAGAAATGACAAAATTTTGAGATCAAATGAATTGACACTCAAATCAAGGGCCTCCAATTTTTAAAATTTTGACAATCTATCAATACCTGCAACAGAGTTCAGTATATCTATATTGTCACTCAAAAAAAACTTGAAAAACCTTAAAAAGTTCAAAATATCTATATTATCACTCAAATAAAATAGTAATAATAAAATTGAATCAGTTGGCTACCTAATTAAGACGAGATGGCATCGTACCTTAATTCTCAATCCTTCCTACCAAATTATTCCCTAATTTCAAATCCCTAGCGAAATTAAGATTAAGTTGGATTATTCGTTTAGTTGTGTTGATGCATTAAACATGTTGCCACGAACAACAGTCCGTTGTAGTCTCATAAACAATCAATGAAGGTAACGATTCTCCATCTGGGAAGTTTATATTTGCTTTGAGGTGCAAAACCATCTCCTCCTCCCAACACCCTAAACAATACCATCCATTTAGTAACGAAAGCACCACCACCACCATCATCATCATCATCATCATCATCATCATCATCATCATCATCATAATAATAATAATAATAATAATAATAATAATAATAATAAAACCATCATCATCACTAACATTACCAGCAACAGAACATCACCATCATCGAAAGTTTGGGCATGTAACACAACCACTTGAGCACCACTAGGGAGCCGATGAGTTCTCTCTATCTGTTTTGGGCGTTCGAGCACCAAGAGGGCGGTCAGCGAGCTCTCTCTAAACAACTGTCAATATATTCGTGATATCTTTCTCTCCCTATGTAGGACTGAGGAGATTCAGAATGCTTTGAAAAGCTAACTTAAATGGTTATAATTCTTCTAGAAATAACATTGTTCAAATTCAAATATTTTCTTTGTGAAAAATGCATTGCAACTTTTGATTGGGAATTTGGAGCATAACTTATGCGACAATTTGATACTCATTTGACTTTTAAATGCATCCCATTGTTCATATGCAATCTTGGATGTATTTGAAATATTTGAACATATTGACTCCTTCAACACATATACTACGAACTCATTAACTTTTTGACTTTAATTACAACTCCAATATTTTAATTTTGTTTAAGGAATATCTAATTACAAATAGAGACCTAACAATTCTTAACTTATCTAACTTGTTAAATTTGGATCTCCACGTGACTAAGACCATTAGTGTAGACATTGAAATGACACTGAGTGTCACATTATTTACAACTATTTACTGCTAAACCATTAAATATTTATCTTCAATTCAATTTAAATTGCGTGCGATTTCAACATCTAAGTTGATGATTTCCATCATGTGTGGAACACATTATAAAGGTTTGAGACCCAAACCATCAGTTTTGAAGGTTGAGGACCTACAATCCCACCCATCACCAATTGAAAGGTTAGGAATTACATCCTCTAATTTACCCAATTGTAAATTGAAGGACAAATAAGCTCTTTTATCTAATTATCTAAGATATGGTGAGGAATATGGATTTTATGTCATTATATAAAAATTTGTGGTCACCTACATGAGTTTTTTTTTCCCTATAATCACTATTTTTTTATTCATTTGCTAGATGTCCACGAAGATAGTTAGCAATTACAAGTTTATGAGTAATGATCCTTCGTTCTATGTATGGTCGGTCATGTGTCGTAATTTGCATATAATTCTGTGATCGTAAACTATTTATTGACTTTATATAAAATACACTGGCATAATATATATGATAAAAGTTTAATACAAATTACGAAAGTCAGATTCACATGCACGTCTTGCTTTTACTACAATATATAATTCGGACGATCAAAGTGTTGGGCAGCAATTTTGTTTCCTTCATCAAGCTTGATCATGGCAGTGATTTCCTCCATTTGTTCGGAGTTTTAGCTTTTACGAGCCGTGTTTTCATCTGTAATGGCGTTTTTAGCCCTATCCCTATCTCGCCTTCTCTTTCTACTTCTTCAATCTTGTTCCACCTAAGTGTTGGAATTCCAATCTTCTTCCAAATGTAAAATCCCTTCTTTTTCTCCATTAACTTTTCAATATGTCCTTCGAGTGTCATGCAATGGCTCTGCAGCCTTAGAACATCTTCTTTTAACATCTTAATTTCCATTTGTTGCATGTTGATTTCGCGCTTTGACGGGCACCTGGCAGGGGCGTCTAGCGCAGTGTTTGAACTAAGCATGCCACTGCAAGATCCACTGACATCAAGAATCTGCTTGTTGAGCTTGTTTTGCTCTGCGAAGAGAACTTGGACGACAGCGCGAATGGGCAATCGCTCATTTTGAGCTGCATTAAGGGATGCCTCTTGTTAAAGTTTTCTGCTACCAATTAAATGACAGAGCCTGTTTCTCTCTAGCTTTGACACCCCTGGACGTGCCTGCCAGAATAATGAATCTTGATTAATTCCATAAATCCTTCAATATTCATAAGTTCATCTGGGTTTAGTCGAACCAGACTGAATCAGACCTAACAGAACATGATGGTTCAGTTCGGTCCGGTTCTACCTATATATTAATCAGTTCTGATTTAAGAGTTGAGACCGTGGACTATGTGGTTATCGTCAGGTTCTCAGTTCTATATCCAAAATAGAAAAACCCAATTTTGTAAAAAAAAATATTATCAGTGTTTTGTTAATTGAAAATTGAAATAAGTAACTTAGAAAACCAGAAACTGAGTGACCTTTTAAAATGGAACCCAACTGTTCAGTTCATAATCACATTTGGAACCAATGGTTCAATTTATATTATTCCCATTGGTTCTTGATTCGGCTATCTTCAGAATCAAACTACAGAGGATAGTGGCACACCAAACAGTAATGGACAACACTAAAATCCAATGTTTAGGGCATCTCGGTAGCTTTTTGTCAGGATAAAATATATGTAAGCAAGCTGACATAGCCACAGAATATAGAAATATTGTACCCTAGCAGTGAAGAATTTAATGTTGGTGACAGTACAAGAACTCCCACTAAAAGGGTCCACTTTTATCCAATTTGTGAACCAGAAAGAACCTTGAGATTTCTAAGATGCAATGTCTACTAATAGACTTAATAATCAATTGAGGGCTGCAATCTAACAAGGACTTAACCGAGAATTACACACATTGACATAAAGTTAGATGGTGACCGAAACAGAGAAATATCGTTCGATAGAACTTACTTTGAGGTAGGTATCAATGGCACGATACAGTCCATCATCCATGGTACGAGCATGGCCTGGAAGCGCGCTAGCAAGAGCTACAAATTCAGATAATGTCAAGTTGGAATCGATAGCAGCTTCTGAAAGGTAACAATCCACAAGCTTCACGACTTTAATAAGGGCAGCTCCATTTCTTACAGCTTCATCTAAATTCATGACCCTCTAACTAGCCGAAGAACAAGCTCGACATCAAGCAGTGTCATACAAGTGTGACTAAATGATGGTATCATCAGTTCTCTCAAGGAAGCCTGGTCGAGTTGCCATGAAACACGCTTTTCAAGCTCAGCACGATAAGCAGGCTTGACGCGAACCGTGCTAGCAACGCGTAGTGGCCGTAACAAAAAGTTGCAAGGAATTGATTCCTTCTCTGGAGGAAGAATTCCCACTAGACTTTCAACAAAGAACCTTTTCTTCATCCATGAAGTGGTAACACTGTCGGGGGACTCCTCAGCGCTCGCAATCAACTTTTGACCTTCATCGTCGGACAGGTCGGGAAGCCATTTCGAAGCATAATGTGTTATAATTGAACCAATTAAATCAGGCCTCAATCCCTTTTCCTTGATGCTGGAGAGTCTCTTGACGAAATGATCCATGTCGAGAATGCTGTCGTCGTCGAACCAGCATAATTCAGAGTCGAACTCTTCTGCCTTGCAAGAAAATGTGGTGTAGTCAGGCGATGTTAGTTTCTGCATTTTGATAGACTAATTTTTGGAGTTGCCGAGTTGGAAATGAGGAGACTTCTTTATAGTACAAATGGCTCTTTCAAGACACTGTACAACAGTAATTGGAGAAGTATGCAATTCACCTAATGTTAAGATATTTTATCCATATATTGGGTCTCTATGATCCCAACCGACCTACCCTAAGGTTGCGTTTTGTGTACCATATTACACCGTATAAAAAATATAGAATAAAATTAGAAAGGATGGCATAGGTGTATGGTGATATGGGGGATTAAGGTGGATAATATTATTTGATCTATTAATAAAAAAATAATTTCATTTGTGCTATAACCATATAACATAATGTGGATGGTGAAAATGGATTTAGACCCGTGAGATAAATAATATAAATTGCATTCTTTTGAATGAGAAACTATAAAATAATACCCACCTTGATCCACCATTATACCATTCAACTATTACTATTCATTTTAATTTAATACTAAGGGTTTGTTTCATTGCAAATATGGAAATTGTATATAAAGAAAATAAATTTTACACATTTGAATTGCATAGAACTTATTTTAATGAAAATTGTCAATTAAATGTGTTTGATTAACTTAATTTCCAACTTAGAACATGTTGAATTTTTTCATAAAGTTGAGTTTTGGGAAGTACGAATTGCTTATAAAATAAAAATATACCCCCATAAAGAAAATGTTTTCCTTTTTAGGGAAAAAAAAGGTGATCATAGGCCCGGTTTTTGCCCAAGGCAACCTAGGCCTTGGACCTCAAGATATGGGGGGCCACAAAAAAATTTTGAAAGCCCAAATAGAGTATTATTTGTGAAATTTCTTACATTAAATAGTGCAAATAAAGTATAAGATCGTGTCCCTACCCAATAACGTCTTTTGATTTCTGTTATAATTGATACTTTTGAATTTTTTTTATTTTTAAATATAAGATATTTTGAAGAATAAATGGTAGTCACTACCTCCATACTTCACTGGTTTCCAAAACCATTTATATTTTATTTCTTGCACACGATAATTAATTCTCAAACGAATCAGATGGTGAGTATAGTATAATGCTCCTCATCACAAGAAAACTATTTGATTTGTTCATGTTTGATGCTAATAAACTTGTTTAAAAAAAAAATTAGGTGTAGAGGTGTCGTGATAATTTATTGTCTAGTTACGACCATCCCTACATGGTCACATGAACAACTTTTGAAAAATATTTTTCATGGAAAAAAACAAGGTCAAATCAAACACCCTATAAAGTCAAAACTTGTGTGAAAAAAAAAAACATTAAAGTCAATCAAACACAATAGGTGGATCTTATGAAAGGGTGAGAGGCATCTTCCTTATTATAGTGAAAACCGGCTGTGGCAAAGTAGACATAGATTGGGCAATCATTATAAATATATGTGTAGGCTTTGCTTGTTTTCTAATTTTATTATTGTTTATTACTATGAGTATCAAAAATAAGGAAGAGGTGATTTTTGGGGGAGCAAGAAGACAATTTTTCAACCGTTGGTGCTATAAGTTGGGAACATGGTTGATGCAAGGAGAAGGATAAGATTGTGAAGAGAGTTAGATGTGTAAAGAGGGATCCAATTTAAGTCTCTATCAAGCATTTGTGGTGTTACAATGAGTTTTGTTCTTCACTTGACAGAGAACGTGTCATTGGATGGAATGTTTGCATTAAAATTGCATGTCCTGTTTCTCCCTCTCTTTTTAGCTTTCAGTGGTAGATGAAATCATGTTAAAATATGGACAAAAATATTGGTACAGAAATATGGGACCATGGTTGGTAAGAAATGAGGGACAATGCACTCCTTGTCTAACCAGGCTACCGGAGAGC